AGCAAAATGGCTTTGGCAGCTGAGTAGAGAGGATGGATTGGGGCAGGAGAGAGGCCAACCAGAAGGCGATTTCAGGTGACAGCCAATGAGGCCTGGAAATGGGGTGGTGCCTGTGGGAGTGGAGAGAAGGGGATGTATACCAGAAATATTGTCAAGGTTCTTTGGTTTTTAAGATCCCTTATTTTGGCATTTGCTGCTTAATGAGTCTTAAAAACCTTTATTTCTGACTGGTTTTGTTTGATAGACCCCTATGACAAATATTTCTACTATGATTTGGAGGCATATCAATTTGAAGTTTTATCCACTTCATAGAGTGAGAACCCAGAGCCCAGGCTCAGAAGACAAAATCAGTCACAGGCTCCTTTACATGGGTCACTGAAGCAGGAATCAAGGGCCTCCCGGAACAAAGCACTGGCCCTTAATTCCAGGTGGAGAAACGGAACCCTCCAGAAGTTAATGTCTTGTTGGTGACCCAGTGGTGAAGATGGGCTTCAGTCCCTTCCCAGCACAACAACTGGGCTTCCACTGCAGCCACAGCAGGGCTCGGGAAGGTGAGAGTGACTCATTTACCAAGATGCTCTCATGTAATTTCTGCTATTCTTCAGCAGAAAGAAATGAGTACCCCCACAGAGCAATCATTGGTTACCTTTTCAGCCGATCTCTTGGATTACATTATAATGTAATTGGCTCATTCATTTTTATTCGAATAAATTAAATAACGCAAACAACACTAATTTTATACTTGGAAAGCACTTGGTAGATAGGATTTGAGGTGCCATCTGACCTAATATCGACAAAGAAGTGATAGCTTATCCTCTCAGCCTTGCTCTTAGAGACAGTGAAGTTAGATAGAAATACAACTTTGCTACTCTGTGCTATTAATTTGGACAACTCTAAAGTTGTGATTAAGCCAAGGTCTGGATGTTTTCTGAATGCAACAGGAAGTACTTCATGTTACACTCATTTGTGATGTTTGAGAGGCTGACACACTGGGACAGTGTGGACAGGAGATCCTGGCATTGACTAGCTGGCTGACAATGGCATGGTTGCTTTCTTTCTCTGAGTCTTGCTCTCCTCATCTGTAAAATGAGAGGTTTGGACAACATGTTCTCCAAGGTGCCTTCTAGCCAGAACAGTCTTTAATTCCAAGATGTGAATCCCACTTCTTTCATGAGAACCAAGATCTGGAGCTGAAAGAGACCTGAATGGTCATAGAGTCAAAACTAAGTCTCAGAGAAGCTTTAAGTGATTTGCCAAAGGTCACACTAGTAGGACATGGCAGAACTGGGATTTGAACTCAGATCTGTTGATTCCCAGTCCAGTGTTTCACCCACTCACTGCATCATCTATCAGCTACCATAGGACAATTGATCTCCACTCTGTCTCTAATGCCATGGACTGAGTGAGTTCCCCTGCAAAAAGAACCTGAGTTCCTGGGATCCTAATTCTCCTAAGGGTAGGCCTGCCTAGTTTTCACTCAACTCCAGAAATTCAGGAAGTTTGAAGTCCTGGCACATGTGTTTAGAACTGGAAGGGTGTTGTAGCCAAAACTCTTCATTTTATAGGTGAGAAAACCAAGGAAGCAACATGTCTTGCCCAAGATCACAGAGTTTTTGGGATTTGAATCCATGACTTCAAATCTTCCATCCTTTCTACTGTTCCATGCCCAGTCTGTAAGGAAACCAAAGCAATTTAAGGGCCATGTTCCTGTGATTTAGATGCAACCTCGAGGTTGAGGTACCTCTTAGCATCACCTGTGGACCAGCTGAGACTTTTGCAGCTCAGTGTCCTAGAATCTGCCTAGAATAAGCAAACATAGCTGACTGTAGGGTCTGTGTCAGACTTCCAACAGGATATCATTTTTGCCTCAGTGATCCAATTGTTAATATAAACTATTCTGACCTCCTTTTCAGAGCGAGGTTGTGGATTACTTAAATATCTATCTATCTATCTATCTATCTATCTATCTATCTATCTATCTAT